AAAAAAAAAAAAAAAGCATAGCAATAGAAAAAACAACTGAGTGTTTAAACTCGGCAAATTTATAGCAGTAAAATGCTTATATTAGAAAAGAAGTTCTCATCAAATCCGTGATCTCAGCGCCCACCTTAGGAAACTGAAAAAGAAGAGCAAGTTAAACCCAAAGTAAGCACAAGAAAGGAAATAGTAAATTTCCATGTGGAAATCAGTGAGATTGAAAGCAGGGCAACAATGGGAAACCATCAGTGAAACCAAAAGTTTGATCTCCAGAATCAATAAAATTGATGTCAAGCCAGACTGATTATGAAGAGAGAATATCAATATCAAGAATGAGAGAAGTGGCATTATTATAGATTCTACAAATATTAAAATGGGTAATAAGGAAATATTATGAACAACTTTATGCCAATAAATTCAAAAACTTAGATGAAACGGACAAATTCCTTGAGAGGCACAAATTACCAAAGCTCACTCAAGCATAAATAGATAACCTGAAGAGTGCTATCGCTAGCAGAGAAATTGAAATTGAGGTGAGAAACCGTGGACAAAGAAAATTCCAGGCCCGGATGGCTTCGCTGGTGACTTCTATCAGCATTTCAGTAAGAAATAATACCAATTCTGCACAAAACTCTTCCAGAAATTGAAGCAGGGAAATGCTTGCCAGCTTATGCTGTGAAGCTCCCATTAACATGCTACCAAGACCAGACAAAGACATTACAAGATAAGAACATTACATAGAGACCATTATGCTTCACAAATACAGACGTAAAAATCCTAAACAACATTTTAGCAAATTGAATCCACAGTATACCAGGAGGATAATTCAGGTCATGATAATTTGTCATGACCGAGTGGGATTCATCCTAGGAATGCAGGGTTGATTTAACATTTGTAAATCAATCACTGTAATTCACCATATTAATAAACTAAAAAAATAGAAAGCAGTTGACAAAATGCAACATCTATTCCTGATTTAAAAAAAAAATCAGCCAACAAAGAATAAAAGAGAACTTAAAGGACAGGTAAGATGAATACACTCTGTCCTTTGTATCACAGCTACTTCTCTGTCATGGGCAGAAATGCAATCCCAAAGCCTCACTGTACTTTTATTTTGCTTCTAAAGCTTCCTAAAGCTGCCTTGTAAATAATGTGGCTGCCATTCTTCTCTTACAGAAGCCTCTTCCCCCTTTATGTGTTATCTACAAAGTCAATTAACATGTTAGCAACTGTTTTTGTCTCCCGACTTTCACCATTTCTGTGCTCTGAAGAGTATTGACAGTAATTTCGGGAAAATCTGACAATATAGAGAGAAGCTTTGCCATCTCCCTGCCAGATTTCTGAAATTCCAGGTGTATGTGGGCATAACTCTCTTCCTGGCATATGTTTATGACAAAAGAAGTCAGTGTGTCTTTCTAAATTACTAATTTTCTGACTCGGCTGAAGGTGATCATTCCAAAACTGTGTATCGTTATTATTACACTAAACTTTTCAACTTGCTAGTAGCTTTTCTTCTTTCTGATGTAGGAAGACCTAATTATTAACCCAGTTACCAGTTCTTGAAAATAAGAGTTATGTGAAAATTTTGTCATAAAGATTGGATTCTCCTTACGGTGTAAGCAGGAATATCATCTTTGCTTGAAATGTAAGGAAAATAACCTAACCAGAGTAGCAAGCAGCAAGTTAGTCTTCATCAATTTAGCCTTAATAACCCACTGTTTGACTAAGTCAGTATGTTACTGGATCTGATCATTTGAAGTGTGCTCATTAATTGTTTGTGAATCCCAACAGGTAATGTCATAAGCTTAAGTTAAAGAGTTTACAGTGATGGTTTTGTGAAGATAGTTTAGTTTCCCTGAAACTTTAACAATGACAATTTGTTTTGATTTTGAAGGAGATGTTGGGTGAACTCTTCACTCCTGTGGAAACACCCGAAGCACCAAACAGGGGATTCTTTAAAGGCTTGTTTGGAGGTGGTGCACAGTCTCTGGATAGAGAGGAACTATGTAAGTCGATTGATTTAACTTGAATAATATATCTATAAAATTCTATCTATATCTAGAAACATTCAAGCCATATAAATTTTTCTTACATGTATGAAACTTACATGTACGTTCACCTTTTTTCTCTTTTGTCACAACAATTAATATATCCATGTTTTAGCAAAATACGTAAAATCGTTTTGTGTCACTCTAACCCAAATCAGGGGAATATTTTACTCAGGGAACCAAAATCACAATAGCTTCAGGTGGCCAAAAGGGAGTATTCAAAACTTTAAATGAGTAATTTAGAAAGTATTTTTTTTTTCATTTTCAATTAAATGTGATCTTAATTATTTATTTTAATTCTATAATTGACTTGAACTAGTGACCTTAACTTTGAAAAAGTTTTTACTTAAACATTTGTTTTATCTTAGAAAACCTCCAGAACTGTTATTGGTGCACTAGAAGATTATTTAAATAGCAAAATCTGATTCATTTACTACCATCCACGTAATTGGCACAAATTAGAAATTGGTCCTTGAATGAACTAATGAATCCATGAATGTTGGACCTTTCTTTCAAATAGGAGCTATTATCTATCCTTGAATTTTTTTCTTTTATTGTTAAATTATTTTAGAATTTTCTTTTTGTTTTTGTTTGACTAATTAGAAAAACTAGAAGATTAAATATCAGTAAGTAGCAGTGAGGTGCAGTTTCATTGTAAAAACTTACCCACATGATGGGTCAATCATTGGTCAATCATCTGGTTAATGAGGATAGGTCAGTTTTAATTCATTTTAAAAAATGAAAACCTTTCTTCAAGTCCTGGGGGACTGATAGTTTGGAATAACATTCTCACCAAGGATAATTGATAAAGTTATACAAAATTCAAAAAATATATATATTTTTTAATTCTTAAAAGCATTGAAGAGCCAACAATATAGGAAGGACGATATCCGTGGGGAGGGGTGGGAACGCGGAGCAATGACCCTGCAGCCTGAGGCCACCTCTGCCCTGGAGGACGTTGCTGATCTGAGCAGGAGGCTGAGATACTCAGCTGTGTGAGGATGAGCAAGGTGGGCTCCCAGGACTGGCAAGGGTGGGGCCTGATGAACAGCAACTCCTCTTTGCAAGGAACCCGAAGGGCCACAGCTGAAGAGTACAGGTGAACTGGGGGTAAATCAGCCCTCGCACACACACAGACTTTCAGCTCAACTGCACCTCTTCTGAGTGGCCCAGACAACCTTCAACCGTAATTAAGATTTTTGCAGACTGCTCAGATCCCCAGCACCTGGCAGAAGCAAATGAAAATGACATATTCCAAGTTCTCAAATTATTTCTAGATATAATTTTTCAAATATATAGTCGTAGATAACCAGGGGCACTAGGAATCAACACTTTGATCAATAAAACAGAAAAAGCAGAAGCAGAATCACAGATGCTTCAGATATTGGAATTATCAGACGCTGACTATAAAATAATCATGCATATTTCATTCAAGAAGATGAGTGGCACACCTGAACATTTTATCAGGTAACTGAAAACTCTCAAAATCAATACAGCAAATGAGTAAAAAACAAAAATGAAATTCTAGAACTGAAAGATTCAAAAACCAAAATTAAAAACTCAGTATATGACTTTAGCCACAAATTAGACACAACTGAAGAGGGAATTAACATGACTTAAAGATAGGTCAAAATACACCATCCAGGATGTAGCACAAAGAAAGAAAAGGACGTAAAATACAGAGGAGAAGATAAAAGAAATAGCAGTTGCAATGAGAAGATCTGACATATGTTTAGATCTTCTCAAGAAGGAAATGGGAAAGAATGTGAAGAAGAACCAATCTATAGAGATAGGGCTGGAAATTTTTTGGAATTGTTAGAAGATACCAATTCACACATTCAAGAAGCCTAATGAATTCCAAGAAGGATATTTTTTAAAAATTCACGGATAGATATATCATGTGAAAATATAGCATATCAAAGACAAAGAGAAAATCTTTAAGGTGGCTAGAGAAAAGCGACAGATACCTTTTAACAAACTATAGACTGACTTCTCAAGAGCCAAAGATAGTAAGGTGATCTTCTATTGAAAGAATATAATACTTAATGTAGAATTCTGTACTCAAAGAAAATATCCTTCAAAAATGAGACTTTTTTAGACAAATGAACAAATAAATAAAACAAGCCGTACCACCACACTAAAGAGAACTCTAAAGGATATACTTCAGATAGAGGGAAAATAATCCTCAATGGAACATCAGAGATTTAGGAAACAATGCTTTAGAAAGGAAACAATAAATACATGCATAAATATAGTTAATATAATCTTTATAAACCATAAAGCAAAATCCTGTGGTATGTGTATACACATATACACACATAAATAAACAATATGACCCAAAAAACTCACAGTAAAATCAAGGGAGTTAGAAAGGCTGAATAGATTTAAGGTGATCTAAGATCCCTGTGTTTTTTGAGCGACTTCTAAAGAAAAGTATCCATTCACATTAATAAGTTAAAGATACATGTTATAATTTCTAGGATGATCTCTGTAACCTAGAAAAGTAGTACATAACTTTCAGATGAATCACAGGAAAATCACAATCCTTCCAAAACAAGGGGAGAAAGAACACAAAACAGGTGGGGTAAGTAGAAAGCACATAAAGGATGGTATATTTAACTTAAGTATAAATAACCATGGTAAATATACATAGAATAAATGTTCTGGTTAAAAGACAAAGATTGTCACACTGAATTTTAAAAGAAAGAAATGTACATTGTTTACAGAAGACATTTAAAACAGAAAGGCACAGAAAGATCAAAATTTTAGAAGAAAAGCATGAACACAAATGAAGAATCAGCTGATATCGCTATATTAATATCAGGAAGAGTAAACATTATGGCATTACTGAATGCACCTGATATTCTGACTTCAAGATATGTAAAAAAACAACTATTGACATAACTACCAGAAGAGACAGTTTCCTGATCATAATGGGAACTTCTGATATACCTATTGATGGAGCTATAAAAGCAGACAAAAAATAAGTTAGTAAGGATATAGAAGACATGAACAACACAATTAATGAACTTAAACGTAATGAACAGGTGTAGAACATTGTAGAATACACATTCTTTTCAGACATATAATGTTCATAAAATGTATTCTATCTATAAGGAAAATTATAGATGCATACTGAGTTATTTTGGAGTAACATCATAATGTCTATAATGAATTTTAAATACTCCATTCAAAAATCATGCACATAGGGGCCGGCCCGGTGGCGCAAGCGGTTAAGTGCGCGCGCTCCGCTGCGGTGGCCCGGGGTTCGCTGGTTCGGATCCCGGGCGCGCACCGACGCACTGCTTGGCAAGCCATGCTGTGGCGGCGTCCCATATAAAGTGGAGGAAGATGGGCACAGATGTTAGCCCAGGGCCGTCTTCCTCAGCAAAAAAAGAGGAGGATTGGCGGATGCTAGCACAGGGCTGATCTCCTCACAAAAAAAAAAAAAAAAATTATGCACATACACTCATGGCAAAAAATATTATTATCAAAATTAGATAATGGGTATGTGGATGTTTATTATACAGTTCTTTTTCCTTTCCTATATGTTTGAAACTTACATTATAAAAAGGTGGAGTTATTTTTTTTAAGTTGACCATATATTCTATACAGTTTAAAAAATCAACAAATTTAAAGGGATTAAATTCAATTAAGAGATTGTGATCTAATCACAAGTCAGTTATGCTTGTAATCAATAACAAAGCTAATTTTAAATGCTCATGTTTTAAAATTGAGAAGTATACTATTGAATAATCCATGTGTCAGATTTCATAATCATTGGTATGCATCTAAAGTAATACTTAGAGTGATATTTAGAGCCTTAAATATATATTCAGTATTAGAAAAAGAAAACATGAAAATAAATGAATGAGTATCCGTCTCAAAAAGATAAACAGCAAAATAAACCAAAGAAAGTAGAAAGAAGATAATAAGATAGGAATGAAATAGTAAATGAATACACAGTAGAAAAAAATCAACAAAGCCAAAAATTGATCCTTTAAAAGTCTAATAAAATTGATAAATCTCTGGTGAAATGGAACAAGAAAAAGGAAGGCACAAGTAAACACTCTTAGGAATGAAAAAAGGAGATATCACAAAAGATACTGCTGCCATTTAAAAAAACAATCAGAATGTAATTTATAACTGTGGTAAAATTTTTGAAAATTTGGATGAAATAAATTCTAGAAAATTATAACATCAAAATGGACAAATGGAGAAATAAAAGTCTGAATAGTGTAACTATTAGATATTGAAGCCATCATTTCAAGCTTTTCCACAAATAAATTCCGGGCTCCAATTGGGCTTCTAGTAAGTTCTACCAAATTTCTAGGAGAAAAAATAATTTCACTCTTACACAGAATCTTTCAGAAAATGCAAAACGAAGGACACTCATCAACTCATTTTGTGAGGTTAACCCAATCTTGATGCCAAGAACGAACATAGTATGAGAAATGAAAAATAAAGGCAAATATCTCTCATGAATATAGATAGAAAATCTGAGATGAAATATTACTTTAGAAAATCCAACAGTATGTTATAAAGATGATATGCCAAGACCAAGTTTGGGTTGTTCCAGGAATTCAAAGCTGGTGTATCATTTAAAAAAAAAAATTGATTGTTCACCACATTAACAGATTAAGGAGAAAAATCCTATGACTACCCCCAACAAATGCAAAAAACCGTGTTAAAATTCAGTATCTGTTCATGATAAAGATTCCTAGAAGGTGAGTTGATAAATTATAGCTACAAAATATTATATAATGTTTCACTACCAAAACACTATGGCAAATCTGACACTTAATGCAGGAACATTAAAAGATATTAAAAACTTTCCTTTGCAATAAAGAATGATACATAATGCCTACTGTTAACATATACATTCAATATTGTTTTAAAGTCCCTAGAGAGTATGGAAAGGGAAGAAAAAATAAATAAAGGGTACAATAATAGGGAAGGGAGAACAAAATAATCATTTGTGAATGATTGATATAATGACATATTTAGAAAACCTAAAAGAGACTCTATAGCTAAATTGTTAGAAATAACAGAGTTTAGCAAACTTACTGGGTATCATCAGCATGCAAAATAAAATTCGGTTTATTCATATAACAACAATAGAAAATGAAATTTTTAAAATTACTATTTGTGTTAGTTTTCTATTGCTGCTAGAACAAATTACCACAAACTGACTTGAAACAACACAAATCTGTTATTGTACCGTTCTGTAGATTAGACATCGACACCGATCTCACTGTATTCCTTGCTGGAGGCTTTAGGGGAGAATCGTTTTCTTGCCTTTTTCAACTTCTGGAGGCCATCCACATTCTTTGGCTGGTGGTCCCTTCCTCAGTCTTCCAAGCCAGCAACTCGTTTGCATCTCTCTATTTCTCTGAAGCCACATCTCTCTCTGCCCACAGCCGGGAAAAGCTCTTTGCTTTTAAGGACACATGTGATTACATTGGGTTTACCTGGATAATCCTTTCTATCTCTAAGTCCTCAACTTAATGACACCTGCAAAGTCCCTTTTGCTGTGTAAGGTAACATATTCACGGGTTCCAGGAATTAGAGTGTGGTCATCTTTGTGTGGGGGGGGTGGTCATTATTCTACCTACCACAGTAGTATCCAAAAAAAAATCAAATATCTAGAAGTAAATCTTAACAGAAGATGTTTAGGACTTCCTGTGGAACACAGAAAATTATAAAATTTTTTTGAGAGAAGTTAAAGACCCAAATAAATGGAAAGATATACCATGTTTGTGTAGTAGAAGATTCAATAAAAGGCATCAGTTCTCCCAAAACTGACGTATGCATATACACACACATATGTACACTTAAGTCCTTATCACAATCCCCCCCAATATTTTGTAACTAATTCTAAATTTCATATGGAAATTCAAAAGATCTCACCACTTTTATTTAACATTGTACTAGAGGCTTTAACCAGGGCAGTTAGGCAAGAAAATGAAATAAAAGGTATGAAGATTGGAATGGACGACATAAAACTATCTCTATGTACAGATGACATAATCTTGTATAGAAAAAATCTTAAGGAATCCACACAAAGAAAACCCATTATAGCTAATAAGTTCAGCAAGATTGCAAGATACAAGATCAATATAAATAAACAGTTGCCTTTGTATATGCTAGCAATGAACAAACTGAATATTAAGAAAATTCCATTTGTAATAACATCAAAAAGATAAAATACTTAGGAATAATTTAACAAGAGAAGTGTAAAACATACATGAAAATCTTCAAAACATCATTTAAAGAAATTAAGAGATAAATAAATGGATTGACATCTTATGTTCATGGATTGGAAGATTTAATATTGCTAAGATGACAGTACTCCCCAAGTTTGTCTATATATTCAACACCATCCCTGTCAACATCCCAGCTAGTTTTTTTGAAGAAAGGAACAAGCTGTTCCTAAGATTCATATGGACATGAAAAGGATCTACAATAGCCACACACACACACATAAAATCTTGAAAAAGAAGAAAAAAGATGGAGGACTCACACATTTCAATTTCCAAAGTTACCACAAAGCTGTAATCATCAAGATAGTTTGGTACTGATATAAGGATAGATGCATAGACCAATGGAGTAGCCTTGAGAGTCCAGAAATAAGCCCATACATGAATGCTCAATTGATTTTTTACAAGGATGCCAAGAAAATTCAGTAGTGAAAGAATGTTCTTTTCAACAGATGGTGTTGGGACACCTGGATATCCACATGCAAAAGAATGAAGTTGGACCCTAGCCTCACACCATACACAAAAATTAATTCAAAATGAGTCAAAGACCTCAATGTAAGAGCTAAAACTTAGGAGAAAACATAAGTATAAATCTTTGTGACCTTAGATTAAGTGATAGTTCCTCAGATATGACACCGAATTCACAAGCAGCCAAAGAAAAAAATAGATAAATTGGATTTCATCTAAATTAAAAATCAAAGAACACTATCAAGAAAGTGAAAAGACAACCCACAGAATGCAATAAAATATTTGTAAACTGCGTATCTGCTAAGTCTAGTATCCTCAATATGTGAAGAACTCTTACAACTAAACAATAAAAAAAATAGTCCAATTTTTAAATGGATAAAGGGATTGAATAGACATTTCTCCAGAGAAAATATACAAACATCCAATAAACACATGAAAAGTTGTTCAACATCATTTGTCATTAGGGAAATGCAAATCAAAACCACAATGAAGTACCACTTCACACTTAGTAGGACGGCTGTAATCAAAAAGACGTACAGTAACAAACATGCCCAAGAATGTGGAGAAATTGAAACCCTCGTACATTGCTGGTGGAAATTCAAAATGGTGTAACTTCTTTAGAAAACTCTGGCAGTTCCTCAAAAAGTTAAACTTAAACTTACGTGACCTGACAATTCTACTCCTAGGTATATGCCTAAGAGAACTAAAAACATGTTCACACAAAAACTTGTACAAATGTTCATAGCAGCATTATTCATAATAACCAAAAAGTGGAAACAACTCCAATGTCCGTCAGCCAATGAGTGGATAAAGAAAATGGCATGTATCCGTACAATGGGATGGTATCCAGCCATTATAAAGCATGAAGTACTGATACGTGCGACAACATGGTTAATCTTGACATTATTTTCAGTGAAAGAAGCCAGATAGAAAAGGACACATTATTGTATGAATCCATTTATATGAAATGTTCAGAATAGGAAGATTTAGACAGAGAGTGGATTATTGATTGCCAAGGGCTGAGAAGAGTGGTGAGTGGACGGTGACTGCTGATCAGCATGGGGGTTTTTCTGGAGTGGTGAAGATGCCCAGGAATTAGATAGTGATGATGGTTGCACAGCCTTCTGAATAAACTAAAAATTACTGTAATGACTTCACTTCTAAGCCTAAGCATGGTATTTGAAGCAAGAGAAAGCATGGAGGAAGAACCAGATCTGAATATTTCAATTTAAATCTATGTGTTTGAATTTAAATATCTTTAAGTCAACTTATCTTTAATTTTTTTGCACACTGAAGAGCAGTTTTTACTGTTATATGAATTGGTATCAGTATACCCATTATTCAACAAATAATTACCCGTGCTTTTTTGCACAAGCCCTGTTATATGAACTAGTATAGAGTAGAATATTTATTAATGTACATTGTGTTCTTGCATGTTTGAAAAAGTATCTAAAAATCATTAAAACCGTCATAATAAAAGAAAAACATGTATTAATTATAAAGTGAAATATATAAATATTTAAATTATATTGTCACTCAATCTAAACATTGTGTTTTAATGCCATCCTCTAGTAGGATTTCACATTAATAAAGTTCTCATTTTCTGAGTTCCTCTTTCGTTTCTCAAACGCGTCCAGTTGGAGAAGCATCCTCGGGGAAGGCGTCGAGGAGTCTCGCCCAGCATCTCCCTGGCCCTGGGGGCATTGAAGGCGTGAAGGGAGCGGCATCTGGAGTCGTGGGTGAATTAGCACGGGCCAGGTTGGCCCTCGACGAGAGGGGCCAGAAACTGGGCGACCTGGAAGAGAGAACTGCAGCAATGCTGTCCAGTGCCGACTCACTTTCCAAACATGCTCATGAGGTGTGTCTCCCAAACAAATATGCAAACAAAAAGACCTTGGTAAAGCGAGCGTGAAAATGGTTGTATTTTTATAGCTATTGCATTTCTACACATGAATTTTCATGTGTCCTCTCCACAGCTGCAAATTCCCGATTTTTGCCACCAGAGGGAACCATTACAAGACTATGTCTCCCTAGCCTTTGGTCTCTTACTGAGGTTTATAGATTTTGAAGGAACCTGCTCACCTTCGGGCTTTTTGTAAACAAAACCTGTTTCTTAGGGAATGCCATAAAAAAGCTAATTTTCCTAAATGCCTCAGATTCTTCTTCCAACTTCTCCTAGGGAAGGAAATAGTTTGCCTCTCTTGATTCTTTACGTAGAGCTAAATAGCTAAAATTGGCAAACATTTTTATGCAAATAAACGATACTAAATCTGTCTGTAGACCAGTTCCTGCAGAGGAGTGGCGAGATGCATATTTGCCGTGAATTCTTCTTGATGAACTGGGAAGTCATGGAGGAGCTTAGAAACAGATGCTATAAATAGGGATCCCTAAGTGGCCCTCGTACAAATATACACTCAAAAACTGAATTTAAAGGCCTTTACGTGGAATACAGCTTCTTCATTTTGACACACACACAGGTCTGCGACTCCTTGATGCTTCACACTGGGCTTCTTCCCACCTTCAGTTCCCAGCCTACTCCTTGAGGACATTTGAAGTTATCTGTAGAAACCATATGAAGGTTATTTTTGTATTAAAGTACCCAATCTATCAGTAATAGCACTTCTTTAAATTTTTTGACCAAAAGTCATCTCTTCCTTGCTCAAGAAAGCTGCCACCAAGAGTGCATGAAAGAGCTAACTTGACCTGGGAGAGATTTGTCCCAAGCTTCAGAGAGATTCAGAGAGCCTTTGTGACCCTTGTACTAGCCCCACACACGCCTCAGATACAGGCTAGTGGCCCTCAGTCCAGGTCAGGAATTTTGTGGGCATAACACACACCTGCCTGGGATCCCTAAGGCATGTAACACTTCAGTCAATTTCAGAAGATATCCACACTCAATATCTAGCAAAGAGCTCAGTCTCGGACTGAAAGCTTTTCCCTTCTACCAGACGTTGTTCTCAAGCCATATTTGAGGGTCTGAGGAAGACAGTACATTGAGGTGGTTAAGATCTAGGTTCTTGAATCAGGCTACGTGAGCTCACATCCTAGCTTCACCGTTGTGTTCCCTTGGGTAACCCCTATAAGCCTCAGTTTCTTAATAAAATGGGGAGAATAGTAATGCCTCACCCATGGCTGTGAGGCCGAAGTGAAATCATGTAGGGAAGGCATGTCAGACAGAGCCTGGCTCGGAGTAAGTGCCCGGAAAATTTCAGTCGGCAGTAGTAGTAGTATTTTCAACCTTTCATTCCCTAAGTTCTTTAAACATTATTTTTAGTTCAAATTAGAGAACTGGAAATTACCTTATTTGTAAGTTATTAGCTCAGGTCACCAAAGAATGCACTGAGCCAAAATTTAATTATGTCATGTCTCTGCAAAATGTGAGGGCCTTCTAGGCTAGTTCTTAATAGTTATGGTCTTTTTTCTAAATGAATTAGTTCTTACTTATTGCTTTCAATATAAATTGATTTGAAGTAAGCAGTATAGTTATACTATAGAATGTTCCAGAATGATATAATGTTTTGGAAAAACGTAGAAGACAGTTATAACTTTTAATATTGTTGTTCTGGCCTTTTTAAAACATGTTTTTGTGTTTTCTCCCCTTTAGATGATGTTGAAATACAAAGATAAGAAGTGGTACCAGTTCTGACACCAGGAATTCAAATAAGTCCAACTTCAGCCAGAAGGAAAAGAATTTTCCTTTTTGATGTTACTGATTTCGCTTTGGGAGAGTTAACGGTAAAGGGATGCTCCTCACTGGATGCTGCTCCTTCCTGGCACGATCACACACTGTTTCCCCTCGGTCACGCGGCTGTCACTGAGATGTGTCCATGCACACGCAGGGTGGAGGACACGGCCTGTGCTGCTCTGGGCTGACGGTGTGGGGACCAAGCAGGTCACACGTCGCAGATGAGGAAACAGAGGGGGATGCTGCGGAGACATGGCAGGGACTCTTCCTGGATCACTCCTGCATTAAACTCTCATGCACCACAAGATTCTGTGCTGTCGTATCCGCTGTGGGTGTGGGACCTCTTTTCGGGAGAGGTGACAAGTCAGAAGTCCTGAAGCTGAAATAGTTATGTTTGTGTCATTGACTGAGTCATCAACAGCTGTCTTGGACTTTCCCTCCCTTAAACTGACTGGTCATCAGTATCATTAGTGAAAAAGAAACAAACTGTTTGTTACCATATCTTTAGACAGATAAGCTGAATGGTGGGCTTTAAATCATAAAAACATACACATCGTTGACTTGTGTATGGGCTACTCTCGGATTCTTGTTATCGTATACTTGTGTTTAGTCCATATTTTGTCAAAAGCAAAACAAGGCGATACATCACTTTTCATTGAAAAGAAAAGTGTAGAGCATGACTGAACTGCTCATCATTCTGGAAGTTTCCATGTAGTGGCTCTGCAGTGCGGGAAGTGAGAAAAACCTCCATTGTGGTGAGGAGAATGCTTCGATGTCCCTTGTCCTTGTTCTCATTAATTCAGCTAAAGGTGGATTTGACCAAAACAGTTACTGGTTAAATTTGTAGAAATGTTGAAATGGGCTAGGTTTTTAATTTTGCTTGAATTTTTATAAAATGTTTAACCAAATGTACCTTTGCATTATTTAATTAAAATTGCTAAAAAAACTGTTTCATTATTTCAGTAAAATGCTCCGCTCCCTTTTTAAAATGCCCTTTCTTTGCTGACAGTCCCAGTACACTCAGGTGATGAGTCAGTTCCATCTTAGAGCACAGGCTGCCACGTGGAAACCACGAGCATCTGTTGTCAGTAGTTGTCTATATACGAGTCTAGTCTGATGACCTACAAAATATCTTCTGTAGAAATATACTATAAATCTGTACATGGCCTTTCAAGGTTTTACAAAGCCAAAAGGAAAGGAAAATATGAGCGTTTTGGTGACTAATTATTTCTTTATTGGAGTATAATGCAAAGGAGACCATCAGTGGCCAGGACATGACTGGCTCTGGAACAGCCTTGCAGACAGGAAAGAGACGGCTTTGTAGACCTGGAAGTAAGTTCACAACGCAGGCTCATCTGAGATGATTATTGATCATTCTTAAAGCAACGAAGAAAGAGCAAAATAGAAGCATTATGCTCAATGAAATTTAAATATTTTCTTCTATAAAAAATTGCTTAAAACAGTTTATTTTCATTAAGAGATAATCAGAGCACAAATTGAAAGCAAACACGATGGTCGTTCTTCTATTCCATATGATCATTCAGGGTACACGTGGAACACCTTAATTTCACAGTCTGTCGTGTGTCTTTTCCTCTTGCCTCTTCTCATTAATACAGCTTTTCTGTTTACATTTTATAACGTGCACTACAGGATACAAGTTTACATTAAAATTTACTTTGAATATCATTAGGAAGGGACTAAATATATATGGTGGAGATAATTGATCCAGGCAAAAGAAATATTTTAAAAATGCAATCATTTTCAAAAGTTCTTGAATTTGTAGAACATACCTATGAATAATCTATTTTTGTTTAGTTAATGTCAGCTATCTGATGAACTTTCAGTCATTTACAAATTGCCTGATTTGTATCATATATTGTCTAATAAACCCATTGTTCCATGATATATCACAGGAAGTATTAAGCCTTTTATTAAAGGTATAGTTTTGTGAATGTCATCCATAAACCAGCAGTTACGGATTTGAGGCTGAGAAGCACTAAGTACAGGAATACACTGGCTGACCCCCCGTTCGTGTGGAAGGGCGTTTGCGCTCCAATTATGTGATGTGCTGTGTTATTTTGCGTTAATTGTATGTCAGCTTCATGTTTACTGTCATTTTACCTGTTGTATATAAAATGAACCAATCTTGTAATTATTTTCAAATAGAGAAGTCGATACATTTACCTGAGGTGGATTTTATAAGAAAATCTTAATATTTTGAGTTATTTCATTTCATTTTACAAATTCTGCACAGCAAACTAGAAACTCACTTAGGATTAGAAAGCGTGAAGTATTTTTGAGAATAGGAAATACGCTTCTCAGAGTTATACTTGATTCAGTCTGTGGATGAGAGACAGTCTGCAGTAATAACTAACCCAGGGAATTTATTGTAATTTGAGAGAGAACATTTTTGTCTTTTTAAGTGCAAAAAGTAATAGTCACCAGCAAGTCAAGATTTCAGGAAAACAAACCAAAAACAAGTCAAAACAGAAAATATTAGAAAAATGAAAGATTTTCATGGGCTTCCTCCATATCCTCAAACATTCTTCTTTGTTGTGTTTGTGCTTGGCTCTAAAATCATTGAAGTATTCATTGATTAGCAGTTTGTCGATAGGAAGTGGTTTCCCTATATGTACCATACATCCAGTTCATTTCACTATTCAAACTAACATCCATATATATTTGCTCAGACAGTTATTTGAATTCTTAAGAGTCTGACAAATTCTGTATATTACATCCATGTGAAATTTTGCATCATCTTAATTCCCTTGGTTTGCATTTCAGTTGTATAGAGTGTTCCCCAAAATGGTTATAGACATAACTGAGCTATTACTAACTTCTTAATTTGATTTTTTATGGATGTGAAAAACTGCTGCTACTTGTCTGTGTTATTATGTGATATATTACAATTTAGTTAAGTACAGTACTTTAAAGAAAGAAGCCTTTCTTTTGCTTAGACATTTTTAATGGTAGGTTCCTCTGAAGTTATTTCATGTCGATGCGTGAGTGTTTTACACAAGTCTGAAAGTGTTACTTGCTTTTTGGTTACAGGGGTGGGGGGGACAGCTGAGGAGAGGAGACGTGTGGAAGACCCCACGGGGCTCTAGTTTCACCCTGAGTTCTCTGCTCCGTGTATGTTCTGCCTGAGGCGTTTTCTCGTGTGACGTTAGAAAAGCTATATCCAAAGGTAAATTTTTTGTGGCAAAGATTTATTTTACATTTCAACTTTTGGGGTTTTGTTTATTTGTTTTTGCAAAATAAAGAGCACTGAACTTTAAACTTGAATTTTTTCTGCACTTTTTTAGGTAAGGAAAACTTTTTATTATCATTTAATCCACAGTTCTCAGTTCAAATCAAGTGACACATATGTATAAAACATACCAAAATCGTGACTATGCTGCTAGCTGCGCCTAAACAATTAAATTGATCATAGTTTCAAAACCTATTTTTTAAAAAAATAGGGTTTTATATAGTTTTCAAGGATAAAAAATAGTAAAATCATTTGCTGTGTGTTTCAGTGTTCTAGGTCTTAAATTATTGCAAGAACACTTTCAGATTTGTTTTAAGAGCATACCGTGACATGTTATATTTATACATACTGCTAGAGAATATGCTTTTAGTTTTAAAATGGAATTTTTATAAATGTCCTCTTTAATTTTAAAAATGGTGAACTTGTTAAGTTTAAGTCAAAAGTACTTAAAAAGTATGTATATTATCCATACAAAAAGTTATGTTTTACGCTTATACTAAGAAATATTGGTATCTCATATGGAGATACAGTTAATTTTAAAGAATCATACATCATTCAAAAGTCTTCACACATGACAGGAAAGATAGCATTACTATGGTTTAAAGAAGCTCTCCGTTGAGCATTTTCAAGTATTAATTTCATCTAGAGAAAATGCCCACAACAACAATTGCCAGACCTTACTCAGCCACTGCAGCTTGCTGTGGGATGCCGACCTTAACTCTTGTTTTAAAATATATATATATATTTAAAATAGTTTTCCAGGTATTTTCTTCTACCTTTTTTAAAAATAAATTTCCAAAAATAAGAACAGTTTATGTATTTTTGTCAATGAAGGTTTTCATTTTGTGGTTTATAGAATTTGTTCCTTCTCAGTTTGATACTTGATCAATATTCCTAGACTTTTTAATCTGTATTTTCTTTGAAAAAGAGCCCTCCTCTCTCTTAAGTGCGTCCTCCTTTTTTTCTTTTCCCTTTTAGGGTGTTTGTTGTGTTGGATTGAAATTTATGCCCATAAATTATTTTTTTCTCATTTGAAAAAGAATGTGAAGATACTGTTTACAGCTTTTGTTAATTACGCTTTTCATCTCTCTGATCAATTTCTTGTAAAGTGCTATGGGGATTCTTTTTCCTGTGAATACTAATGATCTTACTGCTGCCACAGAAGTTTTAAAGGTTCTGTGGACAGAAAATAGTTGTAACAACAACAGAAATTAAAGAGAAAACTTTAGCTTACCTTTCTCAGCTGAACTATGGTTTTAATAACTTCCCGATTATCAGGGTTATAACATTGCTTTCTTCAGTTACTAACAGTCTTAAATTATCGGGCACAATTCATTTACAAATTGAGTATAGTAGTCCGGGGCTGCTTGTCATTGCTCTTTTTATCACAGTCTTTACATCGGAAAAATCGTGAATGTCAGTTTTGCCAGTATTTCGCAATGAGGCTTACAGTTTAAATTAAAATTTTATCGTGTATGAGATGTAAATAAATCAGTATTAATTTATGCTAGGTTGTTTGGCTCAGGCATTTAAAATGGATATAGGCTAATGACAATGGAAGTCTACCTATTTGGGAATTTCATTTTTTTTTTGTACTTTTGCTATGTGTTCTGTGTTGTTTAAACTTTGCTTCAACTGAAGACAGTGTCAGAAGTTGAAAACAGATCCAACATATCAATAGAAAGCAATGCAAAGAGGGTAAATCATGTTTTAAATTTTTTTAATTATTTCGTTTTGTAAATAAATGGTACCATGATACTTTAGGTGTGACCTCTGCTTAACATGGTTGTTAGAACCAGAAAAACATTTTGCTTTCTAGTTACACTGTTGGTTCATTGTAAATGCATCACCAAAAACAATACTCAAAAGAGCAAGGTGAGGTTTTTCTAACATCGTCCACTGCGGGGCTGGCGTGCGTGGTCTGGAGCGCTGGCTTGCGTCTACCTGAAACCGTACGTGCTGGTAGTTTTTAGTTGCTGCACTTTCTTTCTTTTTTTTAATCTTGCTCAGTCCAGTAACTATCTCAAAGGTAATTGCTGGAATATGCATTTTAAATACAGTAAAGAACCCATCTCTGTGTACTGTTTCATTGAAAAGAAAAACAACAAAAAAGCACTATTGCAAACACTAAAAATGTGTTACCTTTGTAGTTATTTTGCATTCCTGTACTTTACAAATTGTCATCACAGCAAAAGGTTTAAAATTAGGTAATGAAATATTTTTGTAAATAAATACCGTTAAGCTGGTATTTTAAAAAAATGTATTATAAATTAATGTTTCTGGAAAATGTTCATATATATATGTATATGAATGTCTCTTTATGCTGAAGGGCTCTGATTGGGCAAAATAAAATACTCTAATCTCTCCTGAAACTAAACAAGCCCTTTTTTCTGGAAAATTTGTTTTAATTTTTTCTCTGAACTGTGGAATTAACCCATTAGTTTACCCTAAGCAAATAATAAATAAAATGATTTCTGCATTTGCAAAGGGAAAGTCAAGCAAAACAGGTAATTTAAGAAAGACTATTTATTTCTTAACTATCTGGACTTTTGGGTAAAGTCATGTGTCCCTGTGTTGGATGGGGAGTCCAGTAGGGGATGAGGGTCGAGGAGGTGGGCGCTAACTGCAGGTGAACGCTTCTCGGCCTGTCTGTGTACGGAAATTTCCTGGGTGTCTTGTTAAAATGCAGGTTGGGATTCAGGGCATCTGAGGTGGGGTCTGACTGCATCTCTAACAAGCTCCCAGGTCAGACAGATGCTGCTGGTCTGAGGACCACACCTTGAGTAGCAACACTGTGTGAATAATTTCCATAGTGGGCATTTTGCTAGTTAATACTGTCAGTATCAGTATCCAACTACTTGTACCAAAAACGAACATCACATTAACAGATCCAGAATAATGTAACTCAAAGACGACCAAACGGTACTTATTGATCCTTGTTTCCATTGTGTTTCAGAATAAAGAATATGGCAATTCTGTTATTAAATTGCAGGTTTATTTGATTTTGAAATCTACATAATCTTACTGCCCACGTGGTGGCAGTCATTCACCTTACTGTCTGAGCCTTTAAGAAGCATGGATTACAGGACCGTCTAACAAGGGAAACTGCGGGCTTTGCGAAGGTTAATTTTCATGACAGGTACTTTTTACCTAGAAAATTATTAAAGTCTTAGATATGGAACAGAAAATATCTTCCTAAGTTATTTGTTGTAAGGTGATGTTGATCATTTGGTAGAGTGATCTGGTTTATTATCACAAGAAATTTTAATATTTTTCCAGAAAATATAGGCATAAAGTGATAAATTTTAAAAGCTAAAGAAAGACTGTCTTCATGTCTTTGTTCATGGCTTTTTAAAGATCCTTAATTAGGATTCCTGTGTCAATGGCACAGTGCCATCCACGTTTTAGATAGAAATAGACTTGTCGTAACTATTCGTAGGAGTTTATAAGAGGATTCTGATTTTCTTCCATTACTTTAAGGGTAATAGGATTGCTATGTCATTATAGTTTTTTCAGTTTTTGTACAAAGGTGATCTTTTAAAGAAGAAAAGTCTTCTCTAAGTCATTTTATTTTTTCAAATTTTATTCATCTGTTGAACATCAATACTCTAGTATATTCTATTCACGCACAACTTATGGAAACATTCTAACCTTTAGTTCTGGGTCACGTTATCTAATTTTATACTATTTTTAAAAACAAAACTCCATAACTTTTCATAACTGCTTTTTAAAACAACATTAAGATACGCAATTAATAAAAACAAAATTTCAGAGAATACAGAATATGTTGTTACTAGCAAAGGAAAGTGAAGAACTCTGAGGGCTTCATGCAAATATCAAACTCAAGTTCTCAATTTCCTTGTCTGTTGCACATTTCCATCATCCATGGACCTAAAGTCCTGGGCTCAGCAGATCCTCCAGGGACAGTCAGCAACAGCCTTACTGTTTCCAAATGAGTGTGTGTGTGTGTGTTTTTCTCCTGCCAAACGGAAGAGTCCTTTGTGCATCTCTCCCTGATGGAGTTTGTCTCTGCGTCTTTCTCCTCACTTTTCTCTCTCTCTCTCCGCCCTCCATTTCATTTCTGTGCCTATCCCCCACGCCTCTCGCCCCAAATCTCTTTACTCTTTAGTAATGTTTATTTTAACCAAGCACATTTCCTTGCTGACTCAGGGGGAGAATAGTATAATTCTTTATGTTTCTCAGGGTCCCCCCATAAACATTGGGTGGGCTTGTAAATAATTTTTATAAACAATAATACCACCCCCACTCCTTGTTGTAACCTCCAGACTGAAAATCTCAGCAGATAAAGCAGAATGTAGCACACACAAGACGGGTGCTGAGGCAGAGATGCTTGAAGGATAAGCACTGGGGGATGTGACGTGGAGAAAGCACTGTGCTGGCCGCCCCCAGGTCATCCTAGCCGCTTCACTAGGGTGTCTAACCGGAAGATGATTTCACTTTCAAGGTCCAAGATTCCATGAACTTATTAGCGGCGCACGGTTGTAACAGTTAGAAGACCGCATTTCAGAAAATGTAACCCTCCGTGTTCCTTTAACAGTAGTGTGACCACAGACACCGTTAGTCTAAACAGTGGTTCTCAAACTTGAGCATCAGAAGCTCCTGGAAACCTTGTTAAAACACAGATTGCTCGGCCACACCCCCAGAGCTTCTTACTCAGTGAGTCTGGAGTGGGGCCCAAGAATTTGTAGTTTTAACAAGTTCCCAGGGGATGCTGATACTGCTGGTCCACAGACCACATGTTGAGAACCCTGATCTAGAGCAATGACCTAGAACCACTGTCCCCTTCGTATCACAGATATTTTGGGTG